GGGAAGGGGAGGGGAGGGGGGGGAGGGACAGAGAGAGAAAGATGAGGGAGGAAGGGCGAGAGAAAGAGAAAGTTACTGCTATGTCTGGCAGTCTTCCCAAATAAAGGATGTGCTAGCAACTACAAAAGTGTATCCCCAAATCCTTCTACCATGCCTTTCAGTACTAGAGGCCAGAAAACTAGAAAATACCTTGTCCAGTGTTATGGTTTGTGTCAGGATGTCCCCCCAAAGCCTCATGCAGTCATGGGGTGGGCTTCTAGAGTTTATGATTGGTTCATGTTCCAACGCTGGGATTATGGGTGTGAGCGCTACACCTGCCCTGGGGTGGTAGTTTACATACAATGCAACAGAGGGAAAGATGCTCTCCCCCCACTCCTCCCCTTTTATTCTTCCTGCTTTTGCTATCGTCTGTAGCCCTGAACTGTTGCCCTCTGCCACGTGCCACTCCGCCTTGGAGCCAGTCAAGTATGGCCCAAAACCTCCACAAACTGTGAGCTAAATAAATCTCTCCTTCCTTAATTGTGGGTGTTAGGTATTTTGTCTCAGCAACCAGGGAAAAGTAACCAAGACACCCAGGTTCTCTTAAAGTTAAGAGTTCTGGGGCAAATTAAGATCTGCCAACTGCAGCCACAAGAACTGTAAGGCAGATGCGAGAGGGGACCCATCTTCTCACTGCTTCTCCTGGCAAGCATGGCTGTGTGCAACAGCACCACTGGCTCCATGGATGTGGAATATTACATGGTCAGGAGCTGCCTCACCTCTGAGCTGCAGATACAGGGTGGTATTCTCGAAGTCAACATCTTCAATGGCAGCCGCGGATTCTGCACCTGTCCAATTAGACCAGTGGCTGCTCACCTGATAGGCCAGTTCTGCAGGCTGTGGGAGTTCTTCCCATAGGTGCAGTTGAAGCCTCTTCTCTCAGCCCTTCCAACAATTCTGTGAGCACCTAATTTTTATGCTAAATCCCTTTCTTGCTTGAAATACCTTGAGTGCTTCTGAGTCCTAAAAATGATTCCTGACTGGTTACTAATTTTTGCCTGTCATCTACATGAATGAGAAAATATGCCAAGTACATCTACATTAAAGAGAGATTAAAAACTCTCTTGGAGAAATACATAAACGATATTCAGTCTTTCTCATCATGCAAGAAAGAAACATTCTCTTTTCCTCCCGACAAATATTTACACTGATGAAAAGCTATGTACCTCTTCAACAAATTTGTATTTGGTATCTTATTTCCTCAACTGAGTCTTTGAACTCTCCTGAAGGGAATTAACCACTATATTTTTTCTTATACTCTCCCTACTTCCCTCTGATCTGAAGTATAGCTGCCAACACACAGTAGGTGTTCAATATTTATTAACATGCACAAGGGTTTAAAAGACCTGACTGAGGGGCTGGGGATTTAGCTCAGTGGCAAAGCGCCTGCCTGGCAAGCGCAAGGTCGTGAGTTCAGTTCCTGGTACTGGAGAAAAACCAAAAAAAAAAAACAACCAAAACTAGAAGACCTGACTGAGGGTTCGGGTGCTGAAAGGATAGCTCCTCCAACCGCACTTCATACCCTTAAGGGAAAACTGTGGGGAAGGGGGACCAGCACTGTACCTGTCTGGGTAGAATAAGGTCTTGGGGTTTTCCTTGGTTAAGGAACTATTAGGAACAACCTTTACGAAAACAGAACACAGATTCCAAACATATAGAAGACAGAACCCAGGAAAGGGGCGAGGAGAGTTTCTTTTTCCTTTCCTGCTATGAAGTCCCTTCAGGTAGGAAGAGAGGCACCAGATCTTAAGCTGCAACAGTTCCCCGCCTTCCTCAGTTCTAGTCAAGACCTGGTTTTAAGCAAGAATCAGGTCAACCTGCATTCAGCACACTTTTCAGTGTCAATGGAAGGATGTTTCCAGGAATAAATCCTTATTTCACTTTTGGAGTCAAGATGTTACTCCTCTCAACTGTATGTTTCAAAGCTGAGTGTATAAGTATATTCTGGTGGATTCTGGACAACTCCATGGTATACTTCTCATGTGAAAATATTATGTGCACCTGATAATACTCTGTTATATTCTACTGGGTGTAGGAAAAAGTGTAAATTAATAATGATCTTAACGTATGCCCTGTCTGAAAACAGAAACAACTCTTGCAAGAGAAGCTTTTTTCTATTTAAATACGTAGGTCTATATCTCCCAAGATGACAAATTTGGAGCTGTATATTTTTATCTTGGTCTATATCTCCCAAGACGACAAATTTGAAACTGTGTATTTTTATCTGTCACGAAAATAAAGATAAGCATAATCCTACGTTACTTATATCTGTCGTTCATGGAGAGCTAAATTCTAATACCTACACTGGAGAGGTCAAAGTCACTGTATAAATGTAAGACAGCTTATGATATCACAACTACATCCTTTTCTTTAACCCGAGACTTAGTAATTTTCCCCTTCTCTTTTGAGAAATGACTGAAACACAATTTTCACTCTGGAAGACAATGCTATAAAACTAAATCCGGATACTATTGCTTGACTTAGCATCTTCTACTCAGGATCTAGAATGTTAATGTCATAACACATGCCCCAGAGGGCAAATTCAAGAGTAATTCTGGAGTTGTCAATGACTCGATTTTATTCCAGATCTTTGGACACAAGGTTTGTCGAGTCATCTTTACTTTCTGAATGACACTAACTAAACTGGTGGACAGAGCACACAAATCAGAGACGTGCCTGTCTTTATCAAAGTACTGTGCTAACATTTTATATTTACACCACCAATCTCCTTCGTGGAACTCATAAGCAACTCCTTATCTTATCATTTCTTTAGCCCATGAGTATTCAGCATAGTAGCTATTATTTATCAGGTATCTGCTAGTTAATTTTTGTCTGGAACTAAAGTTTCTCAATTGACAAGAATCAAGGGAGTCCGGAGTGAATGCCGCAGCGAGGCCGGTTAAGGGCACTTGGCAGGACTTGCAAGTATCACGTTCTTTGAATCAGTTACTTCAAGTAGCATAAGGTACTTCCTACTTTCTCACTATCTGGGATCTTGGTTTATGATTCACTCCATCAAGGTAACTATTGTCACAATAAAGATAAGTCCTGGCCACCTCCCAGGGAGAGAGCTCCTAACCACCACACTGTTGACACATCTAGCTCTTGGGCAGAGGTTCCTTCGGCCTAAGTCTCATTTACTCCTGACTGGTATGACAGCCTGGATCCTAAGATACTGAAGAACTGCTTCTTGCTCGTGAACTGAGCATAACAGAGTAGAGACATTAGGTGTCCCTAAAGATAAAAACACAGAACTTCACCCACAAAGAACCATGACATCTGACTTAAGGTTTAAAACTAGACTGTTTCCTAACATACCAGACTATTTGTACATCTTACAACATACGGCCAAATTCATCTTCGCCATTTCAAAACACTACGCCAGGACCCTCGCTTGGCTATCATCTTACAAGTACCAGTGCCAAAAAAAGTGGGTGGCACTCAGAAACAATTTAAAGTAGTATGTCACCCCCAAGCATTATAAAGATAAAAACATAGAAGTTATAAGTTGAGTGAGAGGGTCAAGAAACAGGAAACACTTAAAACATCAATTTGACAGTTAATACCTCAAAAGAAAAAGAAAAGCAGAAAAGGAAAGAGGATACGGTTTTGACATTTGTAACATTTTAAAATAAAGTAACAGCCCGGCATGGTGGTGCACCCCTGTAATCCCAGGACTCCGGAGGCTGAGACAGGAGGATTGCTGCAAGTTCGAGACCAGCCTGGGCTACAAAGTGAGCTCAAAGCCAGCCTGAATTGCATGGGGAGACCCTGTCTGAAAAAAAAAAAAAAAAAAAAGATAAAGTAACACAACTGTTTGGGTGAAAACAAATTACAGGGCCAGAACGACGACTGCTACAAATGAAGTTTCAAAAGTAAATATTCAAAGTCGGCCCTTGGTAAGAATTTTTTAAGCAACTAAAATGCAAAGTATACAAAATAAGAAACAGTAATAGATACAGATTAGCCATGCCTTTTAACAGAAAGAAATTATGGAAACTCTTAAACACAAAAAACAATGTAAACTGCACTGGGGCATATTTACATCTATCTTCTAAAAAGACTCCATAGAATTGACTAAGGCATTCTAATGGCAATTTAAAGCCTTTGGAAACAAAGAAATTTCATTACAGGGATGGAACAGGGTCTCCTGGGAAATCGATGAAAACCAGGACACGGGGAGAAAGGCCCTGAGGGGGAACCCTGGGTATGGCCCCCCCTGAGATTTGACCAACTCCGAATATAGACAAGGATCTGGGTGAGAAGATAACATATTGTCTGAACAGTCTGGCTGCGCAGGGGGTGAACTTAGCCACCGCACAGGACGCTCATGGGGGACAACGTACTTTCCTCTAATAATCTCCCCACTCGCCCCTTGTCTCCAGCCCCTCATCTTTCTTAGCACCTTACTCAGGGAGACTCCTCAAAGTACAACTTCTGAAATACAGGATTAGGATCCAAGCAATCAACAAAACATTTCAAAAGCACTCGGGCCCGAGTTCACACATGCTTCCGGGACTTGCGAGCCGGCCCAGCCCCGCGAGACACCTCCATCACTGAAGGCAAATACTTTTAAGGGGCGGGGACAGGTGCCAGAAGAGGCTGGCTGGGTCCCCGGTTTGAAAACCGAGGTTATGGCAGCAACCACCAGCTCGCCTGGAATTCTTCCAGACCTGGAGGGGCGCGGGGCACGGAAAGGGGCTGGAAACGGGCAGACTCAGGTGCGGGGGCTTCGGGATGCGCACACCAGGCTGGCCGAGGCCGTGCGGCCAGGGGCGGCTGCCGGGTCGCCGCGTCCCGGGCA